GAATAGCTAAAGTAAAACAATCTGGCAATATCAAATACTGAAGAAGATATAAAGTAATTGCAACTCTCATACTTTGCTGATATGGAATGCAAAATGGTACCGCCACTTTGGAGAACAGTTTGGCAGTCTTTTATAAAGCTAAACATATACTTAGCATACTAGCCAGAAAACTCACTTTTAGGTATTTATTTATATCCCAGTGAAATGAAACTTATTGTTGGAAACCATTCTCCATGGGTCTCTTGCATTTCTATTAAATACATTCCTTGCAAGCAGAGGCATTATCTGTTCTGATCTATCTTTTCAAGATGTTTATATAAGGAACAGCCTTGGGAAATAGAAATAATGTCCCTTTTCAAAGCAAACAGCAAGCATACTTATTGTCTGGAATAAAGATAATATCTAACTCCACAGCAAAGGACCAGCATGCTTATAGTCCATTACAGGAGATTTGGTTTTCCCAAGTTCAGGGTCCCTCTCCTTTAACACAACCTAATGAATGTACAAGTGCCACCTGGTCCTCCTTGTTTCACTGTGCATCAACCGGGGTTCAGGAATTGGTGCAAGAAAACACTGATACTCTGGCTACTGCTATTGCTGTGAGCAATAAAGTCCTTTGTCTGTGACCCAGGAGTCTCAGGTATTCGGCCAGTATCTACATTAGTTTGCAAGTAAAATAAAATATCAGACCCTTTATGGTTCTAGACATATAGTCACATGAAAACCTGTATGCAAACTTTTACAGTGGCATTATTTATAATGCCCTAAGTGGGAAATAACAGATGTCCTTCAGCAGGGAATGGATAAAAAGTAAATGCATTAATGCACCCATACTCATCAATAAGATGCTACTCATCAATTAAAAAAAAAAAAACAACAACTCTTAATTCACAATGAAACAAGTTGCATGAATCTCAAGTGCATTTTGGTAAGTGAAAGAAGCTAGAACCAAAAGGTTCTATTGTATGATTTGTTTATATGACATTCTAGAAAAGGAAAAACCATAGGGACAGAGTCAGGTATCAGTGGTTTCCAGGAGAAAGGAGGAGTTGACTGCAAAAGGGCATATGAGGAAATTTTAGGAGTGACAAAACTATTCTCTTTGGTACTTTGGTGGAGATACGTGCATTTGTCAAATCTGTCAAATCCAGAAATATAAACCAAAAGAGTTATTTTTACTGTGTGAAAATTAAAATAAGATTCAACTAGGATAAGGGATGATTCCAAGATGGAATGCAGACCGTGTCCAATGAATCTAACTGTATCACTAACGAATGGCACCACCATTTGTTGAATGAAGGTGTTGGTAAGAAAGTCTCTGACTTAAAATTTTAGAAAACATTTTTTTGACTGGATACTAAGGCTAAAGAGAAAAAGAACAGTACATAAACATGATAGCTGACAAATTTGTTTCTCATAGAGTATGAGTTAGCAATTCTGAAACTACTTTATATGTACACTAGGGTTGAATATACAAGTAAATACATCATAGATAATAAGAATCAGGTTTCTTGTGGTCGATGAAGTTACAAATAGGCACATAGGTTCATTACAAATGAACTTTGTGGCTCTGGATGGGAGCTAGAGGTATCAGTATGAATGTATGGCTTGTTTGTTTATTTAACATAAATACAGATAGATAGATAGATATAGAAATATGGATGTTTATGGATACATGGGCTGCGGTATATATAATTTTTTCTCTCTCCACTGACAAGGCCTAGAAGCAGTGACACAATCCAGCAGTATAGCAAACCCAGGTGCCCAAATCTTGGTTTATAAATACCATTTGCTAATAAAATAAACCAAGGTTCCCTGGAGAAGTAGTAGATTCCAGGGCTAAGCTGGGAAAATAAAGGATGAACTATCTTGTACTGCCAGAAAGTCAGGAAGTGCTAAAGGAAAAAAATAAAAAGATGATGTGTGTTTAAAGGACACGAGAGGCAACCTGAAAGAGTTCCCAACAGCTAAAGTATGAATAATTTTAATAACAAAATAACAAATAGTATTGGGTTATAACTGCAAGAGTAAAATAAATAACCTTGAGTCCAAAAGGGGAGAAAAGAGAAACTCTTCTTTATAGAGGAATTCCAACAAATAAATGTAAAAGGAATGAAGGAAATAGAATATCACCATTAGGTCAGTCATAATTAGCTCAGTCATAATTGTTGCAGGTAAGATCCACCATTGAATGTTAACATTAGTGGGCAAAAGTTTAAGGAACAAAGGATATTTGCATAGTCTCAAAGTATCTCCCCCCAAACATTTATTATTTACAAAGCACAGATGCCACTCTAACCAAATGGTCAGAGTTAACATCACTGGTAAGGGGATTTATCCACATGATGTGTGCTTTGACATGATGCACTGGGAAGAGCATATCACCACTGTGGTATTCTTCCCCTAATCTATAACCCCAATGTAGCCATGAGAAAACATCAGAAAAAATCAAACTGAAATAAAACTTAAGGACATTCTACAAAATATCTGACCAGTATCCTTAAAAAGTGTCAAGGTCATAGAAGACAAGAAAAGACCAAGAAGCTGTCATACATTGGAGGAGACTAAAGAGGTGCTGTAACTAAATGTTATGTGAGATCCTGGATTAGATCTTGGACAAAAAGGGACATTATGGAGAAAACTGATGAAATCTGAAAAAAGTCTGTAATTTAGTCAATAGTATCAGTGGGAGTTTCTTAGTTTTGATATTTATATCATGACTATGTCAGATGTGAACATTAGAGGAAGTTAGGTGAGGGTAAATGGAAACTCTATGTACCATTTTTGCAACTCTTTTGTAAGTCTAAAATTATTTCAAATTTAAAAGTTAAAAATAAAATAAAACCCTCCTGCAGGATTCATGTAGCAGAAATGTAGCTCAGATGGTAAACAGAGCAACTTTTCCATTTGAGTCCAATTTCAATAGTCTTTTATTGACAAGCCACTGTTGAAAAGAGGGTGGTGGCAAAGCCGGGAGAATGCCAGATGGACAGAACCCTAGGAAAGGTGGTCAGGAGGTGGCACCTGGTTGTGATACCAGCACAGAGCAGGCTCAGAAGACCATGAGTGTTGCCAGGTTGATACTGGACCAAACTAACAGAAAGAATAATAGAATTTGGTCTTCTCTATTGTTATTATTTTAATTAATTAATTTTTTATTGAAAAACAATTGTATATATTAATATTTATGGGTATAATGTGACGTTTTGATGCATGTATACATTGTGGAATGATGAAATCAAGCCAATTAACATATCCATCATTTCACACACTTTTTTGGCGTGTATGATGAGAATACTTAAAATCTGCTCTCTTACAATTTTCAAGTATACAATACACTGTTATTAACTATAGCTATCATGCTGTGCAATAGATTTCCAAAGCTTATTCTTCCTGTCCAACTAAAACTTTGTTCTCTCTAACCAACATCTCCCCAACCACACCTTCCCCTCTACCCCCATAACCACCATTCTATTCTCTGCTTCTAAGAGTCTGACGTTTTTTAGATTCCACATATAAATGAGAGCATGCAGTATTTTTCTTTCTGTGCCTGGTTTATTTCACTTGATATACTGTCCTCCAGGTTCATGCATGATGTTGCAAATGACAGGATTTCCTTCTTTTTAAAGGCTATGTGTATTCTATTGTGTATCTAATACCATGTTTTCTTTATCCTTGGTTTTCTTGAAAATGAATTTTGGACATGCATCAAACAAAGGAGCATCAGTGAAGATTTTTAAAGATAGCAGAATCATGCTTCACAAGAATTATTTATGTTTTATTTTAGACAAATAGCTAAAATCTAAATATATGGCTGACTATTCATTAGTGATTTTTATGTGAAGTAGAACCAATTGATGTTTTTATCCAGTGAGATTACATACATAATATCTTGTTATTACAAACCCTAAGCCCTGATTAGGTGAGCTCTGAATTATTAATAAGTGAGTCCTGAATTATTAATAACAAGATATTTCCTATTACCTAAGTTTGTAAAAGAAGAAAATATATGTCACAAATAACTTCACTGGTTAATTCTGAAAATGTAACAAGTTGGGTATGAATTTAATATTCTTTCCCAGGATAAGGTGGCCAGTAAGGTGAAAATCTTACAAGCATTATTATTCCTTGTAGAACAGATTTCCTCCTTCCATTTTGAAAAATAAATCCCAAGGGAACCCTGGTGCAGATCAGTGACAGCACAGGCTGTGCTTTGGTTAACACTCAGAGAGATGTGCTAATGTCCATTTGCGGATTCCTGTCAAATCTAAGCTCTAAACTCAGGCACTGAACTATTTTAAAGATGTTTTGATCTCTATTTGACTTTTAAAGAACAACCTTTAGTCTCAATTTTAGTGCATCTCAAATATCGGGACTGCTATATGGTTCTGGATAACTTTTATTAATAAAATTAAGGGAAGTTCAAGACAAGAAAAAATTGGGGGAAAGAAAAACCCTTCCCATAGTCTGTGTAAATGCCAAGAACAGTAGCTTTAAAGGTCTCCAAGTAAAATACAGGCTTCAGGAAATAGTTTCACCTTATTACTATACCCTCCTGCCCTCTCTCTCCTTGCTTTCAATCCCAAACACTCAGATTGTGCTTTATGTTTCCACAAATTCATTACTCTTGAGCAAGGTCCACTGCTAAGAATAGCGGCAACATATCTTTTGTAAAAATAACAAAGTTTCAGAAGAAACAAATCTGAATGTCTGAGTACAAAAAAAATTGTATTTTGAAATGTGTTTTCATAAAGGTGCTAAGACCTGAGCCAAAGGCAGATCTGGAAATAGAGTCCTGTGAATAAAGGCTTATCTAAACTTTATGATTTGACAAATGAGATTGAATTAATGGGACCTTTGTAAACAAAATGAGTGTCTACATGAAGCCACTGACATCCTGGGAGCACAAAACACTTCTCAAGAATTTTTATCCTGTGAATAAATTTAACATGTAGGTGAGAAACTCAAACTTCTTCTCCCATATTTAATGTCCATTTTACCTTAATGTCTCTAATCCAGGACTGAGCCTTTTCCAAATTATCTTCATTGACTGCAGCAAGTTTTTCTTGCCAAGCAACTGCTTGACTATCAAACTTCACAAAATTGAATTTATTTTTATATTTCAGCTGTTCCTGTAAGAGACAGTTATTATTTAACCATAAAACCACTCAAATGTAAGAAAAGGTTAGGACAGCTCACAGTTTGGTAAATTCTAATCACTATGATATCTATTTTCAGTTTAAGAAGTGAAAAATTATATTCCATAGGGAAAATCTTTTCCAGTACAAAAGGCATTTAAATAAAATTTACACAATTTGTATGTTAAGACCCTTACAGGCCAAGTACGGTGGCTCATGCCTATAATCCTAGCACTCCGGGAGGCTGAGGGCGGGTGGATCGTTTGAGCTCAGGAGTTCATGACTAGCCTAAGAGCGAGATCCTGTTTCTACTAAAAATAGAAAAAAATAAGCTGGACAACTAAAAAAAAATATATAGAAAAAATTAGCTGAGCATGGTGGTACATGCCTGTAATCCTAGCTACTCGGGAGGCTGACGCAGGACTGCTTGAGCCCAGGAGTTTGAGATTGCTGTCAGTTAGGCTGATACCACGGTACTCTACACTGGGCAACAGAGTGAGACTCTGTCTCAAAAAAAAGAACTTTGCAAATGTGTATATATGTACACATGTATGAATATATGTCATATATGTGTATATGTTTATATATAATGTGTCATTAAATATTGAGTTTAATACTAGCATTAATGGCATACCAAATAAGCAATCTAAATATAATATGCTTAAAGAAAACAAATCCAAAACATTATCATCATTTGGTTGCAGATTTATTCACTTGCTTTCCATCAGTCCCTATTTCTCCAAGAGGTTTGTCAAATTAAATACTGTATTTCATATTTCTCAAACACTCCCCACAATTTTCTGTAGTTAATACTTACATCAATACTATGAACTGATGACAGAACTATGATACCCTTTTGTATTAATAGGTATGGAAACTAGGAGTTAGGAAACTTAAAGCAACCTGCTTCCAGCCAGATAACTTAGAGGCAGCACAGGTAGAATAAGACTTGCTAGCTCCTAACCATCAGCCTATACTCCTCCCATGGGCCAGTGCACACAATATCCCTAATAAACATTTGAAATTCAAATAAAAATGCCAAGAGGAATAGTATCTGGAAAACAATCTAGAAAACAATATATATTAATATGTATACACCACAGATTTCAGGATAGAGAAAATCTGAAACAATAAGCATAGAAACTCCCATAAGCAACCCAAGCATGACAGAAAACCCCACCAGAGAAAGGGTCTGCTTGCAAAGCAGAAATGATGATTCTTTCACTGGCAAAAAGGAGCTTTTTCTGAATTGGCTTTCTTAGAGACTTTTTAGTGCAAAACTCCCCTGTCCATTGCTCATAAACGATTACAGATGATGATTGGTAGAGATGCATTTATGATGCACAGGACCCCAAAAGCATGAACCTGACCCTTCCATTAACCTGTATGAACTGAATGATCTTGTCCTTCACCAAGTCCAGTTTGCTCTTCATCGAGTGAGACGTATCAATGAGGATGTAGATGCAATCGTTATGCACTTTTCCAAAGAGGATTTGACTGCTATCCTGTAGCCATTTGATCCTAGGCAGGAAATAGGTTGGAAGTGAATGGTTAGAGTCTGCGGGAAACAAGCACATGTTCCTCAATTCCTAAGAACTGGCAACTATAGAAGCCAGAGCTGCGCTATGTTGTTTATACCCAGTCTTGTGTGAGTGAATTATTAACTTTGAGTATTCTTCTGTAGAAAATCTTATGTTTAGGCTGGCTCCTTATCACCCCCTGCACTGCCCATCATCAATCCAAGTAAAACAGAACTCAGATAATCAATATGGGAGACAAATAAATCCATGTAGTTGCCAAAGTCAAATATAAATTACTTCTAGTCATCTGATATTTTCAGGATTCTAGCTATGACTTTAGACTCTTTGTTCTTCTAATATCACTGACTACAGTTAAGCTAGTAAAGGCAGCATATTCCTGAAGCTTCAATGAAGCTTATGGACAGTATGAAGCCACACCAGAGCCCTGGAATAACCAAGGAGGCTATGTGAGAAGGACTGCTTCTGTGGCTCATGCTCGGGTTCCCAACACAGCATGTAAATGAAGTTCACAGCTGCAGACAAAGCCTGTTGGGTAGAGGTAAGGGAAGACCATGGAAAAAATATTTGAAATCAAGTTCAAAGTTCAGCAAGGCCTAGGCAACTAAAATTTGTAGGGCAGAATACTGAAAAGGAGGGAGGAGAGAGGAGAGAGAGAGAGAGAGAGAGAGAGAGAGAGAGAGAGAGAGAGAGAGAGAGAGAGAGAGAACGAGAGCGCAAGAGAGAGAACATGCTCCAGAGATCTTCAGAAGGGTACCATTGAGAGTTCGGCTAAATAATGGTCAAGGTATACATATAAAGAAAATACTGAAGCCAAGGAACAAATCACCAAGAAGGATTAGGTGGGATCAACTCATCAGAGATTACACAAAGCTAGGAATAGTTCACCTTCCACCAGCCAGAGTAGGAAAATCTTTTTAATACATGGGGCATCAAGTAGAGTCCTCAAAAGAACATTTCCTTAGTAGTAGGACCAAATCAGCTCTGGACTGAAGGCTACCCTGAACCTATTCTAATATAACTTAAAAGCAAGTCCCAGAGAGATCAAACTGATTTTGAGTAATTTAATTGCACCATTGAACATATATTTTAAAAAATACAATGAAATCTAGTACCCAAAAATGAAAAATTCAAAATGTCTGGCATCCAATAAAAAATACCAGACATATAAATAAGCAGGAAAGTATGATCCATAACCAGAAGAAAAACTGATCTACAGAAACAGACTCAAAAATGACATAGATGCCAGAACTAACAGAAACACACATTACACAGCTGACACAGATGCTAGAACTAGCAGAGAAAGATGTTACACAGCTGACATAGATGTTAGAACTAGCTAAAAAGGATGTTACACAGCTATTATAAATGTAATCCACATGTTCAAGAAGGTGAAGAATGAACAGAATGAAGAGAGAAATGGAATATATAAAAAAAGATCCAAATGGGACTTCTAGAGAGCTACAGTTTCTGAAATAAATAATATACTCCATGGTATTAATAGTATATTAGACATTAGGAGAAGAAGAGATCAGGGAACAAAAGACAAGGCAATAGGAAACAATTCAAAGTGAAACACACAGAGAGAAAAAAAGACAAAAATACATAACAGAGAATAAGTGACCCATGGAATAATATCAAGGAGTATAACATATGTGTAATTAGAGTCTAAGAAGGAAAGGAAAGGGGGAGACAAAGGTATTTGAAAAAAACATGGCCAAAATGTTTCTAATTTTGATTAAAACAATATATATCTACAGATCCTAGAAGCTCAAAGAACCCAAAGAGAAGCAAAATGAAGAAAACCACACCAAGGCATGTCATAATAAAATTGATGAAATCCAGTGATAAACAAAAATCTTAAAAGCAGCCAGAGACATAACATGTAACAAACAAAAAAGTGACAGGAGCCTTCTAATCATAAATCATACAAGCCAGAAGACAGTGGAAAAGGATTTTTAAAGTACTGAATGATAAAACTGTAAAACTATAATTTTTTCTATATTTAGCAAAAATATCTTTCTAAAATAAATTAAGGAGTTTTTCAGATGAGAATAGCTGAGATCACCAACAGGCCTGCACTACCAGAAATATTCATGGAATCTCCTCAGGTAGAAAGAAAATGACACCAAATGGAAATCTGAATCCATACAAAGGAGTAAAGAGCAAAAGAAACATCAAGTATGTGAATAAACATAAAATACCTTTATTCTAATTTTTAATCTAGTTATAAGAAAATTGATTGCTTTTAATGTATTGCGGGGTTTTATAGCATGTGAAGAAGTATGGTATAGAACAACAATAGAAAGGACAGAGGGAGAATGGAAGTTGTAAGGCTCTTATAATATACATGAAGTGATATTATTTGAAGGTACACTGTGATAAGTTAAAGATGCATATTGCAAATGCTAAATTGTCACACATACATCAAAACAAAACAAAACAAAGAGGTTGAGTTAACAAGATAATAGTGAAGATAGAATGTAATCACAAAAAATGCTCAAACAAAAGAAGACAAAAATAAAAAAGAGCAAAAAGAGAACAAAGAACAGACAGGACAAACAGGAAAATACATAGCAAGATCTTGGATTTAAATCCAACCAAATCAATAATCACATTAAATGTAAGTGATCTTAACACTCCAATTAAAAGGCAAAGATTGTCTAGTTAGATTAATAAAACAATACTCACATATTTTGTCTACAAGAAACCCATTTAAACACAGGACACAGACAGGTAGAGGAAAAAAGATAGAAAAAATATAAACCATGTAGACAACAATCAAAAGTAACTTGGAGTGGCTAAATTGATATCAAAGTATATTTCAGGATAAGGGATATTACCAAAGATGAAAAGGACATTTCATAATTATAAAGCAGTCCATTCATCTAGAGAATATAACAATTCTAAATGTACAAGCACCTATTAAGAGTATGAAAATATAAAAAAAAAAAAACAGAACCGAAAGAGGAATTGAAGGCTACAGTTGGGATAACTACAGTTTGAGATATCAATGCTCTTTTCTCAATAATTTATAGAACAATTACTGAGAAAATAAGTAATAATATGAAAGACTTGAAAAATGCTATCAACCAACTTGAGCTAATTGATATTTATAATACCTTCTACCCAACAAAAGCAGATTTTTTTTCATATTCTAGGCCACAAAATAGGTCTCAATAAATTTATAAAAATTTAAATCATACAGTCTTTATCAAACAAATAATAAATGTTTGTGATGATGGATATACTATTAATAATTATCCCTATTTGACCATTATATATTATATACACATGTTAAAATATCACTCTGTACCCCATAAATAGGTACAACTAAAAATAAAGAAGGGAAAGAAAGAGATCAAGCAGATTTGAATTTCAAAAGAGACCATACACTTGTACCCTCCTGCAAATACACCAACCTCCTTTGGATCTGGGCCAGAACTTCATGAATTCTCTCACTGTACCACTTGCACTTCTCCTTGGTGATGTTGACATGGACCAAGCTCCCATCCTTCCAGGGAGCATGGACAAACTTGCTGCAATATTTGGCATGGACTGTCTTCTTGTAGGTCTCCTAAGGAAAGGACAAAGGACAGAAGCCACTTGGAAACCATGCAAAGAAGTCTCTAGATGGCACCTCCACTTTTGCCTTATTACACAACTCTTAGCATTCACCCCCACTGAAAGTCATTTGATCATTAGATCAGCCAAATATGTTCTGGTGCTTGCTCCATATGGAGCCCCAGTGCTAGACGTCATGAACAGTGGTAGGTATGGAGATTCCTCAAAGAACTAAAAGTAGACCTACTATTCAATCCAGCAATCCCACTATTGGGTATTTACCCACAGGAAAAGAAGACTTTTCATCAAAATACACCTGCACTCGAATTTTTATTGCAGCACAATTCACAATTGCAAAGATGCGGAATCAACCTAAGTGCCCATCAATTCATGGTGCATTAATAAAATGTGGTATATGTACACTACTCAGCCATAAAAAAGATGAATTAATACCTTTCACAATAATCTGGATGGAACTAGAGACCATGCTCCTAAGTGAAGTGTCTTAAGAATTGGAAAAGAAACACCACAGGTACTCACTATTAAAGTGGAACTAACTGATGAGCACACCTGTGCATAGAGGTAAGTAAACTCAGTGGAAATCAACTAAGGGGGAAGGGGGAGAAAGGGAGGAGCATAGACCTATATAACAGGTACTATGAACACTATTTGGGTGATGGGTCAGGACTCACATTACAAAAATGATTCATTTAACCTAAAACATTTTTACCCCCTTAATATTTTGAAATAAAAAAAAGAAAGACATATGTGAGTATATTCGTGCCCCAGAAAAGCTAATTATTCCAGGAGGGAGACTCCCCTATCCAACCCCCAACACACACACACACACACACAAAGAGAGAGAACATTAGGAATGCAGAGAATTAGATACTCAGTTCCTGGTGCTGGGTTGAGACAGTAAGGACTGGGAAAGTCCTGGCAAAGAATAAAGAACTCACAGTGGACTGGAGGGTCAGGGAGACCATTCTGGAGGAGGTGATATTCACCCCAAACTTCTTTTCCTTGCTACTCTGGCTACAAATAAAACAAAGTAGCCAAGTGCCCTGGCCCACACCTTGCATCCTAGTGGACATACAGAACTGGTGCAAGGACAAAGCCCCCTTGAGGGGAGTGCTCAGGTCTGTCTCCATCACTCCTCCAGCGGTATTCATCCAGCACTCCTCCATGCCAGGAGCTCTTCTAGGCACCAGGAATACAACCTTAAGTCCAAAACTCCTGCATTCATGGAGCTCACATTACAAGAGATCCAGATAATAAACAAATCTGATATAATAGGTCAGATAATATCAAATGCTATGGAGAAAAATAAGGAAGAAAGGAGAATAGAGAGTGGTAAGGAAGAGGGGAGGGGACAAGGACAAGTTAAACCCTAACAGGGAAAGCCTCAGAGAGGTGAAATATGAGCAAAGGCCTAAGGGAACAAAGAATGTAGCCATAGGGAGGTCTGGAAGAAGTCAGAGGACACAGCAAGTGCAGAAGCCCTGAGCTGAGAGTTTGCCTGGCATGTTGTCAAATTTTGTAAAGGCCAGCACAGCCAAAAGAGAGTGGGTAAGAGAGGAGAGAGTGAGATGAAGCTGGAAATATGAGGGGGAGGGCTGGGAGCAGATCCTACAATGCCTGACCACTGATGGGAATGACTCTGGCTTTTGCCCGGAGTGAAAAAGGAACCCTCTTCTCAGGGCTTTAACAAGAACCACAACATATCTAATGGATGGTATACAGGGTGGTCTGAGTACTCTGTGGAAAAGAGACGACTAAGGACCACGAGCAGAAGCAGGGAGTCAGAAGGTCCATTAGGTGCATGGCCCAGGTGATAAGGGGGCAGGTACTGAATGACAGGTACATTCTGAAGACAGAACTGACAGGATTTAAGGACAGGTCAGATGTGAGTATGAGAGAAAAGTGAGAAGTCAGGAATGACTCTGGTTTTCAGCCCAGGGAGTGGAAAGAACAGAGTTGCAATAAATCACTAGGAGGAAGATAATGGGAGAGCATCTTGGAGGGGGGTTGATTAAGATTGAGTATCTGATATGTTAGGTCCAAGATGCCTATTAGACATCCAAGTGACATGGTAAGTGGAGATCAAGGCAGAGATCTCAGGCAGAAATCAAGGCAGTACTTAATTTCTCCAGGCAGCACTGGAGATATAGGTCTGGAAGTTACCTGTATGCACTGAGGTTTAACAGCCATGGGATCAGACGAGGTGACCAGGGAATGAGTGTGGATGGAGAAGAGGCCCAAGGACTGTATTTCAAGGTCCTCCAGCATGTGGAGGTGAGGGGCCTGGGAAAGGAGTGATAGATGACTAGGAAAGAACAGCCAGGGAGGTAGGAGGAAAACCAGTACAGTGTACATTCTACAAACAAAAGAATTTCAAGCAAGTGACCAGCTACAGCAAATGTTGATAATAAAGCAAGGAATCAGAGGCTGAGAATTGACCCCTGGATTTAGCAGTTCAGGTAACCCTGGCAAGAGTGGGCTTAGTGGAGAGGTGGGCATAGGGGGGTGCTATGCCTCACTGGAGTGGGTTCAAGAAAGCAGGGCAAGAAAATCGAGGAATTGGAGAAAGGGAATGTATAAAACTCTTCTGAGGAATTGAACTCCAAAGAGAAGCAGAGGAATGAGGCAGAGCCAGAGGCACATGTGGGAGTCCAAAAATTATTTTTCAGATGGGACAAATAGCAGCATGTTTGTATGCTGATGAGAAAGATCTAGATACAGGGGTCCTCAAACTTTTTAAACAGAGGGCCTGTTCACTGTCCCTCAGACCATTGGAAGGCCGTTGGAGAGTGCGGCACACATTCCACACATGTGCACTGTGGGCCCGGGACAAGTCGGCTGCTAAGCAGGATAGGCAGCAGCAGCAAAAACACCCAGCAGGCCAGATAACTGTCCTCGGTGGGCCGCATGTGGCATGCGGGACATAGTTTGAGGACCCCTGATCTAGAAACAAGGGCAATATTGAAGATATAAAGTAGGAAAGGGAAAATGGATGAATGAGGGGAGAGATTTTGGTGTACACATGCAGAAAGTGACCTCAGAAAGGGGCAAGGACAAAGCAGCCTGAGGACCAGAGAAATAAAGGTGGAGTGCACCATGCAGAAACTGGGTCTGGGTGTGGAGGCAATATTCATGACATACACGTCCATGTCCCATGACATGGCAGGCAAGCTTATCTGCTGGATGTTGCAGGAGAAAGCAGAAGGTAGACACCTCAGAGAGCAAGAGGTTGAGTGGATTGCTGGGCAGCACAAAGGACCCACTGATGTCAGAGGATATGACTTTAAAGTGAAACCAACCCACCCACAACCAGAGGCATTAGAGGACTTCTCCAGAGGAACTAGAGCTGGTCACCGGATCCCAAAACAACAGTGCAGTGTGTTCCCTCCAGCAAACACCACCTGCTGACAGGAAGGTCCATTTGTATGCCTGTCACAGCATTTACTCACTCAATCATAGAGGGTGTGGTTGATTCTCACCCACAAGCACCACCTTTTGACTCAGATATTAAACTGGGCATATCATTATCTAAACAAAAGAAAATCTAAAAATAAGAAGCAGCAGCTGCTTCAGATGAGAAGGAACGACCGAAAGAACTCTGGAAGTATGAAGAATCAGAGAAAAAGGTCACCATCAAAAGGAAACACCAGCTCCCTAGCAATGGATACCAGGCAAAAGCAGAATATTGAAATGACTGATGAAGAATTTTCAACATGGATTGTAAGGAAGCTTAATGAAATACAAGATAAAATAGAAACCCAACACAAAGAAACCACAAAAACAATGCAGGAAATGAATGAAGAATTCACTAAAGAAATTTAAGTATTAAAGAAAAATCAAGCAGAGCTTCTAGAAATGAAAAATTCATTCAAGGAATTACAAAACACAGTAAAAAGCCTTAAGAACAGGTTACATCAGGCAGAAAAGAATCTCAGAGCTTGAAGACAATATCTTTCAATTAAACAAGTCAGTCACAGAGACAGAGCAGAGAAATAAGAGGAATAAGGAAAGCCTACAAGAAATATCAGATTATATAAAGAGGCCTAATATACTAATCATAAGCATCCCTGAAGGTGAAGAAGAAAATACACAAGGGTTGGATAATTTATTTGAAGGAATACTTGAGAAAAATTTTCCTGGTCTTGCTAGAAATCTAGATATCCAGGTACAAGAAGCTCAGAGGACTCCTGAGATTTTCATTACAAAGAGGAAGACGCTATGATACATAGTCATCAAACTGGCCAAAATAAACAGAAAAGAGGTGCTTCTATGAGCTGTAAGGCAAAAAAAGCACATAACTTAAAAAGAAAAACTCATCAGACTAACTACAGACTTCTCAAATGAGACTCTATAAGCTAGAAGGGATTGGGGCACCATTTTCAGTCTTCACAAACAGAATAATACCCAGCCTAGAATTTTGTATTCTTCAAAACTCATTTTCATATATGAGGAGGAAATAAAGTCTTTTTTAGCCAAGCAAACACTGAGGGAATTCATCAAGACAAGACTTGCCCTGAAGGAAGTACTCAGAACTTTATTATTCATGGATCAGCACAATAAACACTTACCAATGTAAAACTACCCAAAAGCTACCAAAAAGGCTGAAGGCCAGATACTACAATGGCTCAAGAGATAAAACAAAGCAACAAAGTTCAACCCATCAGGACCAAAACAAATCCACCCCACTTATCAATTCTTTCAATAACTATGAATGACTTGAACAGCCCACTGAAGAGACATAGGTTGGCCAAATGGATAAATACACAAAAGCCAAGTATCCACTGACTTCAGGAAATACATCTACCCCAAAAGGATGTACCAAGATTCAAGGTGAAGGGATGGAAAACAATATTCCATGCTAATGGAAACCAAAAGAAAGCTGGTGTAGCAATACTCATATCAGATAACTCATATCAGATAGTCTAAAAATAAACAAAAGTAATGAAAGACAAAGACTGTCATTATATAATGGCAAAGGGAACAATTCAGCAT